GAATTTCAAATGATTTCTGGTACAGTAATGCCCTTTTACTTCACTTCTTTAAATTCATTCATGGGATGTGATTGTTGCTGGCTCAGCCATCGATTGTTCAACCCATTGTTATCCTTGAGAAGGTGGTGATGAACTGCTGCAGTCCATGTATTTTAGGTAGTTGCACAACTACCTAAAGTACATTTAGGTACTGTTTGGGAGAAAGTTCCAAGATTTTGATTGAACAACACTGAAGGAACAGCAATATATTTCCAAGTAAAGATGATGTGTGGCTTGCAGGTGGTGGTGTTTTCCTGTATCTGCTGCCCTTGTCCTTCAAAGTGGAAGTGGTCATGCATTTGGAAGGTGCTGTCTGAGGAGCCCTGGTGAATTTCTGCATTGCATTTTGTTACTACTCAGCATTGGTAGTAGAGGGAGTGACTTGTTTGTGAATAGGATGCCAATCAAGAGGATTTCTTTGCCTTGAATGGTGTCAAGTTTCTTGAGTGTCTTTGGAGCTGTGCTCATCCAGACAGGTATTCCATCGCATCCTGACTTGTGCCTTGTAGATGGTGAACAGGCTTTGGGGGGAGTCAGGAAGCGAGTTACTTAGTAAAGTATTCCTAGCTTCTGACCTGCTTTTGTAGCCACTATTTATATGGCTAGTCCAGTGCAGTTTCTTGTGAATGGTAACCGCTAGGATATTGATAGTGGGGGATTCAGTCATGGTAATGCCATTGAATGTCAAGTTGCAATAGTTAGATTCTTTCTTGGGATTTGTGTGGCGTGAATGTTCCTTGCCACTTTTCAGTCCAAGCTCGGATATTCTCCAAATCTTGCTGCATTTGGACATGGACTGCTTCGGCATCTGAGGAGTCGCGAATAGTGCTGAATATTGCACAATCATTGGTGAACGTCCTCACATCTGACCTTTATGATTTGACAGGAGTATGCAATGTTTAAATGCACTGATGCCTTCACATAATTTGAAAAATATTATTTTGTAACAGTGGACCCATAGTTTTAGTGACTGAGCAAATCAGTTGGCATTCCACCATTCTACAATGATTTTTGTATCGCACAGGCATTTATCAAAGCTCCGTATGGTCTTCTGAATTTAGTTGATATAATCACAGAAAGCAAAACAATATTCTTCAAGCTTATTCAGTTCAAGTTACTAATCCATTTGATATTTAAGATACTCTAGATTTCATTTGCCTTTTGAATAGGCTTGGTGATCAGAATGTGTGATTCACTCATGCCCATTATATGAAATTTAAGCATCTTGCAAGCTTCATGTAGCCTGTTCATTACAATTATTTCTGTGTGCAACAAGTGCCAGTTGCATTGTATATTGGCTGGAGGCAGCAGGGTGGTCAAAGTCATAACTGCCTAGCACCACTTAAAGCTAACCTGCTTAAAGTTAGCTGCACCGCTTAAAGGGATTTTGAGTTGTGGCTAGATTAAGTGCTGGGCACCATGTGCATATCTTACATTTTTAATGTGGGATTGGCATATGATGAGATGATGTGTATAAGAGTGCTGGATTCAGATCATTGGAGAAGGAATTTGCAAGTATTAATAAGTCAGAGAGCAATATTCCACTTCTGGATAGTAAGAACTGTTGATGCTGGAGTCAGAGATAATACAGTGTGGAGCTGGAGGAATGGAGCAGGAAAGCTGACGTTTGAGGTTGGGTCCCTTCTTCAGAAATGGGTTAGAAATGTTCCCATTTCTGAAGAAGGGTTCCGACCCGAAACGTCAACTTTCCTGCTCATCTGATGCTGCCTGGCCTTCTGTGTTCCTCCAGCTCCATACTGTGTTATCAATATTCCACTTCTGTTGCAGAAGACTCCATTGAGGACTAGAATGGAGCGGAGTCCAGAAGATGACTGCTAGATACACACAACAAAATCCTTGGTGTGTTAGGAAGCCAGCCAGTAAGTCTGCAGTCAAGTCAACGAGTATGGAAGAGTCCAGCACCATCTTGCAGAGTTCTGCACTGGCCTGGAAGACATCCTTTCCAGCATAAAACAAAAACCGAAAGGATTGTGGATGCTGGAAATCAGAAACAAAAACAAAATCAGAAATTGATGGAAAAACACAGCAGGTCTGGCAACATTTGTGGAGAGAAATCAATTAACGTTTTGTTTCCAGTGACCCTTTTTCATAACTCCTAGTTAAGAAAGGTTGATATACAGGAAATGGGGTGCAGGGAGGGGGTGAGAGTAAGTATCTACCTTTTCCTAGCTACCATCAGTTGTGAAGTAGGGTTGATACACTTGTTGATTACCAATGTTTGATTACCAATGATGCAACCTCAGATTCAGACCAACTTCAAATATAAGTACAAGTAGCAAGAACCCCTCCAACTAAATGCAAGTGCTGTTATCAAGGCTGTTGATTACTGTATTCAAGACTAGAAAGCAAACTTAGTTGATCAACTATTTAAATAATGTAGGTTGGGTGGGATGGGGGAGGGGTTTGTGGTCAGTGTTCATGCACCTAAGTTAACATACGTCTAGCTGAGCAGAGTTGAGAAAGGACATTAGATCCACACTGTACCGATTTGTGTGTTACAGAAGTCCAACAGTCTATTGTCCAATAGATGACTAAGATTGCTGAAGCACTAACCCAGAGGAGTGGCGGATGCTCCCATGGAGCAGCAAACCCCTTTTCTTCTCAGGATGACAGTGATTCTCCTCTGATTCTGACACTTTTTGCCAGTGCCCATGCTATTGCTTATTAGCCAGTCAACCGAGGCCGCTACCATTGCTGTTGAGTTGATTCAGTCTTAGCTGGGCCTTCTCAGGCCAGATCGCTGTGGTCATCCTGCAAAGATCATTCATATATTCCTATAGTCTTCCAGTTGTGCCGTAGCCATTGGTATAACACTGCACAGGAACATTTGGACATAAACAGACACATTGAAGACAGACACCAAGGCAGTGTGCAAGGGTGACAAGTTTGTTTGCGATTTGGAATGATTTCATTTGTGACCTTCATGGTTCACTCCCTATGAGCACTAGGAAATCAAGACCTATTAATGCCTTCACCAATGTGATATCTGGCATGATTTATGACACAAGTTTGCATGCATCCATTAGACACCATTTTGATCACTGAATGGACCCACATTGAACATAAGCAGTAGGTACTATTAGCCCACTTCTATCACCACTGCCTTCACACAAAGTTATGAAATTCAGTGAAATTATGGCGGGTTCCGTTCTCATCAAGTACTTTGGCAATTTTCATCTATTAACAAAACATTATTTGAGGTTTGCTAGAATAAAATATATTCAAGGACATTCTCAACAGGTATTGCTAAAAGAATAAACAAGTAAAGAAAATTACAATATCATTAATACTATACTGCTTTAGTTTAAATGAAGTTTGTGTTTTGTGCTCTTTAACTACTAGTTCAATGAACAAGTCTGCAGATATTACATTTGCATTTTGCTTCTGTGTTTTGTAATATCATGAGGTGTGTGGTACTTGAGCTTAAATAGAAGATCTGGAGATCACAAAAACGCTTTGGCATTTACCTCCCAGTTTTCATCTGTTTCTGTTTCAGTAATTGTAGGAAGTACTGGTGCAGGTTGTATAGGTGCGTTACACATTTTTTTGCTGCTTTTTCCCCATTCACCAGTTAAGCATGAATCATTTTGTTTCATGCAGATTAGTTGATGAAAATGTACTTGTGTAGACCTGTGACACATCAAAACACATTCTAAATTCTAGTTTCTTCAGCACAGTTTTGGCATGCTTTACAGAAATGGCAAATTGCATAGAGAAGTGTAAATCCATTCCATGTGAATTAAGCAGCAAAGTAAAGCAACCATGTACATTGTGAGGACAGAAGGTCGAAAAATATGCATTTCTGTTCTGAACAGAATTTGGATATATATTTTTTCCATTTTATCTACATAAAGGCATTTTTGTATTTGGTAGAACTCAGTGATTGCAAGGTGCAAAATTCAGTATGTATCTAATAAAAAAATTAAGGTCTAAGCCATGCAATTGCAGTATTGTTCAATTTATGCTTTAAGCATAGTCTGAGCGTTTTTTTATTTAGTGAGCTATACACTTGAATCACTTCCTATGTTTAAAGATTTAAAAATAGTTTCCTGCTCCACAGCTTTTAACAGTCTATGCAAAATATGTATTTTAAGCATGAATTGAGGTTGATTTCACCAAACATGTTTTAATTTAAATAAGCTTTTGTAAAGGGTCTCCCTTTATGAAATAGCACATTGGTTTATTGCTAAATTGGTTATGCTGGCTTAAATTATTATAGCTACGAATTTGTAGCTTTGATTATATGTTTGCTTTTATCATGATATATAATTTCCAGATATTAACTCAAACATATATATTGTTAACAAATTTTTACAGTCATGGAGAGTCCAGGCTTTACAGATTTGAAGCTTTGATCACCATCTTGTTAAGTACTAGAAAGATAATCTAAACTGTATATTTCAACTAGCCATAAAATCTGATGTACGGTGGTATAGACAACAATGTAATTCCACCCACTTAAAGCCCTTTTCTTTAGATAAAATCAATGTGGGGGAGGGGAACTAGTACAGAATGAATTTTAGCTTGAGGATAAACAATGGGGAGCAGAGGATTCTGAAATATTTTTATATAGCAGAAAGCACAAGTATATTTTCTGTTGATCTTCAGGTAAAGTACAGATTTCATTTGTTTTTTAAAGGAAACACATCCAAAACCCTTTGTGTAATTATTGTTGAAATTTTCTTGGACGAAAATAGTGCATTTTATTTGAGTACTTTCTGTCATATGGGATCAAATTGATTGACGAGAGTATGTTATTCTGTGATTAGTGAATGATTTTTCTCATCCACTTGTTTGAATTTTTTTCTGTTCTAATGTTTATTTTCACTGCAGAATAAGTTTATAAACATGCTTAGATGCCTAAATATGATTCAAATTAATTTTACAAGTTTATAATTCTGTTCTTTATGCATAGCTGATCACTCCCTGCCTCTTTGCAGCTGCTGTCTCCAGACCAGGGGAGTGAGGGATGAATGACGTCATTTATAGTCCCAAAGCACCCTAGTTTTACATATGCAAGATGGAGTTGCCATAGTGATATGGCCCAGATCTACCAGGTGACCAGAGAATCAGACTGCTTATAATGTGCGCATTTTCTCCTGCGTATTATTAGTCTAGAGAGGAGAAAAAAAATTGTTGAACTTGAGTCATAGCATGATTCACTCCAGCAATGGTTCTGATTCTGAGTATGAAATGAGAACATGGTGTTGTGCATTTAAAACTCGTGTATCTGTTTGCAAGTACAATATTTAGATATTAAAGTATTTTAAAGCAATTTAAGCTGTTAAAATTGTATAATGCTTTGAGACTTACACATTTTGTCATTTAGTTGCAATTAAAATAATGAAACTTAAGGAAAACTATATGGTCTGAAAATGTTACTATGATATGTCTATTCTTCAGGTGCCAAATGAATGATTATGTATCCAAATAGCAGGAAGGACGTATGTTATTAGGAACCAGATATAAGCAATTCACCAAATTGGATTGAGCTGTTGTGTAGGTCAACAGCACATGCCGTAACTATGAAGCTAATACTAATATGCTCAAATAGAGGTCCAGCATTTGTCAAAGAACCTGTTGTGATATTGGGCTGCCTGGTAACAAGTTGAGCCAGCCACTTACCACTGAGTTACTTTGTTTAAATTGAGAAAAATGTAACTTAAATTGTTCTTTACTTTAAGTACACTGATAATTTTATCTCTTTGATGCATGAAACTGTATAGAAAAACCAAGTTTGTAAGTGTACGTTATTGAATACACTCGTAAGTATTATGGACGCTGACTGTAGGAAGTCCATATGCACTCTACCTTAAAAGAGGTTTTACCTTAGCTTGTTTGTTCAATCTCTCATGCCATAAGCTCCAGTGGAATGTACTTTTATCAGAACATTGTAAGCCAGATGTAGGACATCTACAGAGGAGTAAGATTAGCCTATTTGTGGCAGGAACAAGCACCTCATTTCTCCTATATCAACACCTTATTCTCTCCCTTTCCCTAGAATTCTGGTGATCATCATCTTCCATTCCTCTAAGGTTGCATTAATTGAGCATTGTCAACAACTGCCATCCCATCCTCCTGACAGAATTAAACTCTTTATATCTCAATATTGTATTGCCTACCTCTCTTACTCTAAGAATATATTACCTGGGTATGGAGATTCCAGCCAGCAGAAATATCCTTCCTTTCTCCACTCTGTAGATTCCGGTCTGCTTAAAAAGAATGTCTCTCAGTTCTGTGCAATAGAACGACCACAGACCCACAATCCCACCTCATTTGATAATGGTATTGTACTGAAATCAATCCTGTGAACTTTGGCTGAAAATCCCAAATAAGATATCTATCCTTCCCTATGTAGTAAGAACAAATGAGGCACATATTGCTGGTAACATGAGACAATAAATGCTCTTCCAACGGAAGATCATTGATAGGGGAAGATCCACACATTTCACTTCATCAAAATGTCAGTATGTGGAGGAGAATTGATTCATCAGCTGAGAGGAGGTAGTAGGTGGTAATCCTTACCCAGGCTTAAGTTTAGGCCAAGAGACTTCATAAGGTGTACAGTTAATGCTGAGGAGTCCCCAGAAAACTCCTTCCTTACTGTATACTCCTGTGCCACCGCCTCTGGTATGTCTGTCTTGTCAGTTACACTGAATATAACTAGGGATTGTGATGATGATGATGATGATGTCCAAGATATTGTCTCTACAGTATGATTCCCTGCATATGACTATATTGAACTGTTGCAGGACAGTGAGACAGCTCTCCAAATTTTGGAAGACTTTGCAGGGTTCACAGGGCTGTATGTGTTGTTGAAACTTCTGATGCTTTGATTAATGCCAAATGATTCACCAGGTTTCGTGCTGTTTATCAGAATTTGTAGCACTTCTATAAAACTGACTCGCTAGGCAATTTCAGAGGGCATGAAAAAACATCAGTCTCATTGGCGTGAATCTGGATTCACATGGAGGCCAGATCAGGTAATGACAGCAGATTTTTCTTCCCTAAAGGATATAAGTGAACCAAGTGGGCTTTTACAATAAGCAGAAATAGTTTTATAGTCACCATTACATTACCTTATTAATTATAAATTTATTAATTGAATTCAGAATTCATGGTTGTATATTAAATAAATGATTCATCTTACATGGTGAGTTTTCAACCCATGTTCTCTTTTATTAGTCTCAGTCTCTGGATTACTTTTTGTAATATTTCTCTCATGGACGGATTAAAGCAGAATCAGAGAGTTTAGCTCCAGGAAAATGGCAGGTTGTATCTCTGCACACCTAATGCCGTAGTCTGCAAAGTCAAGCAACATTGCTAGAACCTGGATTATTCATTGGAGCTTTTCAGTACACACTAGAATGTGTATACACATTTGTTACGTTCTATAGCTTTGCCACAGTGAGGAATCATTTCATCCATGCCACATCCAGTATGGCAGGAATCAGGTTTGTTCATTTCTCTGCAAGAGCACCTATATCGTCCCTCAACTTCTCCTTTGCCATTAAAATTTTATAACTTCAGATAATTATGCATCTCTTTTTCAATTCCTGATTGAATTTTCCTTCTTCACATTGTTAGTGCATTGCAGATTAAAACCACTAATTATGTAAAAATGTTTTTCAACTTTCTGGCTTTGGTTCTTTTTTGCCGTTATGTTTAAATAAATGTCCTCTCGTACTCAGCGCTTCTGCAAATGGAATTAGTTCCTCTGCTATATCCTCAAAAGTCCTGAAAGTTTATTTCCCTCAAGTGCCTCTTTAACTTCATTTTTAAATTATTGATCATCTCCCTTTCTGTCAGCTGTGAGGGCTGTGAGTTCCAGATCATTACTGATCACTGTGTGAGAAAATTCTTCCTCCCAGCCCCTGGTTTTCATCCTCTTATTACTTATGTATTTTGTTAAGAATAAATTTAAGACTTAATAATAAATTTAATGCAAAATAAGAGCATAAGAAATCGTATGTAAAGCAATCTACAGAACATCAGCAACAAAATGTTGGAATTTTAAACAATTCTTAAGACGTGAAGAAATAGATGAAGTAGATCAGCAGAAATGTAGCTTGGACAGGATTAATACTTAAATATTGCAAATTATGATGAATTTAGAAAAGACAAATAAAATTGAAATAGTAGATAGTTAAATAGATACAGCATATGACAATAGCAAGAAAGGACACGATGAGAATAGAAATAGAAACAGTTTATGTTTAGTCAAAATAAAGACAACACAACACTTTTAACCTCAGGTATCTGAGAGACCATGGGTAAAATTTTCCCTTCCCTGGAGTGGCAAGGAAATGACAAGCAAGTTGGGAAAATACAGCAAGAATGCAAAAAATCTAAATTCTGGTGATGAGAAATGAATTCCAGATTCTCCCTTTAAAGTTTTGAATGGTAACTTCAGATTCTCACAATTGAGTGGGGTCTACCTTATATCCATTCATTGGCATTTCATTATTAGCCCAACCTATTTCATTTGTGCCACTTAAAATTCTCCTCTCCTCCTCTAACGATTTAAATATCACAAATTTTGAATTGTAAATCTGTATGAGTGCCTGACTGCAGTTCACTGATAATTGGTCCTGGTGATTAAGCAACTCTGTCTTCACCACAATGTGACTGCCTTGACCATGAACACCATCCTGCTCCACCTTGTGTCCGCGCAAGTCAGTATTGATAAAACAGTAACCTCACCACACCATCATGCCTGCTGTCAATCTAACTTCAAAACCATTTCAGTGCTTCTCGACATTACTTTGGAGTTCAAGGATACCTAAGACTTGCATGCTTCTGCCAGGTTGCTTTGTGTGCAAGGACATGCAATATCTCGTGCATCGAGAGAGGATGTACCTTTTTGACTCTTAACACAATTTCTTAGCTCTCGCTGATTTTAATGCTTTCCTGAAGGCTGCCTACCTCCTGGCTTGTATTACGTTTTTGCACAGGGGAAGAGGCAGACAATTTGCCACAGTGAGGAGAATTGAACAATTAGCGAACAGACATGTCACTATATGGCACAGTTACCATCATTGCCATCTTTCCAGCTGCATTACTGCTGAGAAGGGCAACAAAGAGCCTAAAGTGTGTATTTAATGAGATGAAGAGTGGAAATTTTGTGTGAGAAAAGTAGTTGTGAATCTCGGTTCAACTGAAAATGGAAAAATTTGGCCCATCGTGTTAGAATGTGGCAAGAGTGTGAGAAGGAAAATTTATCAAATGCTCCCTTGATGATTGATATTATTGTGACGCACTATTTATTGTGCAATTGATCAATAAATTTTCTTTCCCTTTTATTACCCTGTGCCTGCACTACTGGAAGGAAGATTTATGATGGGGTGCTGGCAGTCCACCTGTGATTATTAATTTGGCAATTCGTTAATTTTAAAATTATTTTAGCATGTCTTATTCCAGTCATGTGGACTTCAGCCTGATGTAATAAAAATATTATGGCTAGCTACTGAATAATATTACAACCTGATCAACTCTCAGTATGACGCCCAGGGATTATTGGTTGATATAATGAAAATCCACCCAGTGAGATTTTGATTTTTTTTTTAAAAGAACTTTTGTTGTTACTATGTAAGATCACTTGTATCTTGTCAAAAGAAATTACTTTACAATCTAATAATGCAAATAACGGTTGACTTAAAATACCTGATTTAAAAATTTTATGAATGCACTGGTTATAGGGGATTCAGCATCCAGGAGGATGGACTAGTATCTCTACAAATTTCAACTTGATTCCAAATTATTTGTTTTTCTGGTGCCAAAATTAACAACACCACTGAGATAGTGTAGAATATTCTGTAGGCAGAATGGGAATAGCTAGGATTCATTTATGGGAACTGATGGTCTACCATCTAGAACCATTTGAGATTATTGCATTCTTCCAATTCTGGCCTCTTGTACATTGCAAATTTTAATCATTCTACTTTTGGTACTTACTCCTTTCATTACCTAGGATTGGAATTTTCTCCCTTTACCTCTTTGCGCCTCTATCTTTCTCTCCTCCTTTGAAACATTTCTAAATCCCTACCTCTGTCCTAATAACAATGGTGCAGTGTCAAATTCTGTTCGATATTGCTGCTATGAAACAGCTTTGGACATATTTATTTGTCAAAAGCAATATATTTATCTAACTTATCAAGATTATTGGAAAAAAAGCTATTGCAGTTTCAGGAGTGAGGGAGAAAGTTGAACGATGTTTTAAATGCTGTGATCTCTGGATAACTGTCAGTGCCCTGCACCAGTCATTAAAAGACTAGTGGGTTAAAACAGATTAACTCGTGACTCGGGAAAGAATGGAGGGTGTTTAGTTTCAGCTTCCTGGAGCATTGCAGCTAGTTCCACA